CCCGCCCCGCCCCGCCCCGCCCCGCGCCGTCGGGGCGGGTGGATAGGGATCTATGCATAATATTGAGACGGCCCGTCGGTGGAGCGCTCATGTATCACTCTCCAACGGATCTGCAGGGCTGCTCCCCATCGGCGCTCCAGCCCCAGCAGCTCAGGCGACTGATGCAGGGCTAGATTTGCGGGCGGCGGTAGGCCTGGACTAGACCAACTGGACAACGACGTGTCTCCGGTCTCTCTCTCTCTCTCTCTCTCTCTCTCTCTCTCTCTCTCTCTGGCGCGCCACCAGGTGTCGACCTCCAGCCGGGGTGGGGTGGAGTAGTAGTGCTACTGCGGCTGCTAAATAGGCAGCCCCACCGGCGGTCTCCATAGCTCGGGCTCCAGCGCGGCCCCGCCGGCCCCCGGCCGGCCCAGGTCGTGCGTAAGGTTTGCTGCCGCCCAGACTGACGGGCCTGGTTTATGCATTTTGTCCAGTTGGTCCGTTTAGCAGCCGCAGCTAAACAACATCAGCGGCTAGCGCGCGGTGAAAGGAGTAAGGTGCAGCGCGGCCAGGGGGGAGTCAGAGTAGCAGTGCAACACGTTGCGAATGAATCAACGCCAGGAGACGGGACCGACCCGCACGCCGACAGATGGGCGGGGTCGTATAGCGCGCAAAACGGCAGTGTAAAAGTTTTGGTAAAATACGAATATGTAAAAAATTAACCAACAAAAAACCGCTAAAGAGTTTTGATATAAATCGCAAACAAATATTCCGTTGACGAGAAAAGCTCGCTTACTGGCTTGCGTGTTGCCCATGGCCATCGACATGTCGTGGGTGATGATCTGGCCCCACTGCATGGTGAGGAGGGTCCAGCGCTTGTCCTTGATGTCCACGTCCGGGAAGAGCACGACCGAGATGGCGCGGCCGGAGGGCAGCGGCTGGCCCGTCACGGACACCGGGGGCGCGTGGATGCCTGGCGGGGCAAAGATTGGCGAAAACGTTTCAAAGTGATGCAATCGTCAATGGGTGAGAAATAATTTTACACCTTGTAAAACTTGAAGCAAAAAATTTGCCTAGCAAAAGTAAAATTTGCAACAAAAGTTAAATTTGCAACAAAAGTTAAATTTGCATCAAAGGAAAATTTTTCTCTCAAGTAGACGAAACTTACCGTCGGCGTACTTGGCGGGCACGAGGCGGGCGTACCGGGTGCCAGCCATCCCCCACGACGGCCTCCTCAGGTTATTGCAGGAGCCGTCGAGGGTGCGGTACTTGTTGTTGGTGCAGGCGGCGGGCGCGGCGACGCACTCGGGCCTCGGGCCGGCCGCCAGCGGGTGCAGCTCGGCGCCTCCATACCTGCAGGCACGAGGTACTTTGTGACCAGCTGCCAGTCTCGATCGTGCACTCCCAATCCCCGTCTTGTCTCACTCTTACACGTCAGCCAACATTGTAACGCCTTCCTTACGGTTTTTGGCACCGAATAGGCGCGCGGGGTACCATCGGGCCCCGATATCAATGCGGCCAACCTGCTGCATACCGCTCGCAGGCCACGCGACGTTATTCGCACGCCAACACTCTTTTGCGCCACGCGTCGGCAAGGTTTGCTAACCTGCTGCAAATAGTGTCCCAACCGACGGACCGCCCGCCCTGGGGATTCTACCACCTGTCCCTCCCCACTGCTTGCCCATACACGAGATTACATCCAGAAGACAAGTCTGGTTCCATTTTCAACTCTGCCGCTTATTTTACTCCTCCCGCGACCGCGCGCGAACGCGGAAGAAGTAAAGAGAAAAGAAGCAAAGAAACAAATTCACCCGCTTTAGCGAGGTTTGTTAATAAAAGTAAAAACTGGCGCAGGCCTATCACCCACCAGGGTTGTAGAATGTAAATCGATAGGCGGCATGGAATCCCGAGGTTGTGTCGCCGTGGTTTCACGGCGGCCGTACGTATTGCGAATGCTCATAAAAGCGCATGCAAAATTATTCGAAGAGCTGGCAAATTTTCCTTTGTTTTGAGTGGGAGAGAGGCCATCGGAAGATGCCTTTCCCGCGTAACGTTTGGTAACTCGCTCATCCTCGACTCACCCAGTGGCCTGGAGGAAGTTGTGCCCCGGCTGCAGGTAGGTGGCCACTGGCGGCGGGCGTGGGCGCGGG